GCAACTTAATCATAATAAAATTTTACATCATATACTAAGAGCCCCTTCTCTTCCCTATTTTTGACTATGCGGACGTTAGCTACCTAGATCTCACCGAAGCGCAGCTTGATATAGGTACGTGAGCGAATTCAGAATTTCTGTATAAGGTTTATTTTTGGATTACGCAAATATAACCATGTCTCTCTCTTTCGAACTAAGCTCAAGTGGTTGCTAATACGATTTCATCGGAAGGCTCACATACTTCATCTTCTCTATTACCTTTCTTACCTCAAAAATCGTTTTGTGTTTTTTCACAATTCCCATTCGCGTAACCTGACATCACCAGAGAGCTTGTAATTGAATATGCCACTACACACTAGTAAATTTACGAACAAGTCTTTTACTGTAGAGGCGTTCGTTTATGGAATAAATTCCTATTGGCATTTAAAGTTTAAACACGCACCATCCCTACCAGTATTTAAAAAACCTAGTCAAGAATCATTACCTTACACTTTAAATTGTAATTTCGCTTCCACGCTAGCTATTAAATATAATATAATATGTACATAGTATATTGGTTGCATTTAAGTAAATACTTCAAAATATATTTTATTTTTGTATGTTTTATATATATATATATATATATATATATATATATATATATTATAACATATTATATATACATATTTTTATCACACCATTTTGCCCCACCCCTGTCATCTTCGTGTAATCCTGTCCATTCATTGGTTGTCTGGAAGAAATTGCTGTCAGCAAAGAGACCGCCCATTGCATATTTCTTTTGTATATATAATCTGTAATTTTTGTATGGTGTGCAATAAAGAATATTAAATAAATAAAAATATATAAAAAATAAGATTACTTAGCAACAACTACTAGTGTACTAGTGTACGAGTTTTTGTAACGCCGTCACTGGGTTGAGCATTCTGTAGGGACTCGAGGGATTCGGGATATTGAAAATTATTTGCTATTTTTTAGAACTCTTGTACCTAGCATGTATTATGTACATCATAATTTTTCGTAATTTGTTACGATAACATTAATAGCTTACTTATATCAACAGCTGTAAAAGCGATTTGACGGAAATTATATTTAATCTCTACGAAGAGATTGTGTCACATGTGGTTTGGTTATCTAGCCCTCAATCTGTCGTGTTTATATTCATACGTTGCTTGTTAAAGAGGGAAACAGTTATGAGATATTATCCTAAGGAATGCGCGATGCGCTCAATATTGTTTATTACCTTGATATGCGATGCGTAGAAGGGGTAAAATTTTTAGTTTGTGAAATATGACTAGGAATTACGATAACTGACAGAATTAGAGAAATATCTAGGAAAATCTTGCACAGAGACTGTAAAATTAAAACACGAATTTCGCAACGAGATACCCGCCCGTGTACCCGTGTGAGTATTTGTAGGACAAACAGAGAACTGTTCAAACCTAAATTTCAAAATGTTAAATGTTCATGTTCCAATCATGCATGTTATGTATTTTTAAGGTAGGCGAAGTGCTTGAAGGAAAAGTTAGAATAAAAAATAGTTTTTTTTTCTTTCTGAAAAGAAGGTATAACGTGTAGATTAGTAGGGAGAATAAAATTACATAGAGACTACACAAATATAGATGACGGATATAATTTTTGATTGATTTAAAGATTTTGATCTTTTAATATAATATAGGTACATAAATAACACGATAAATATAACGTATAAGAAAAACGGTTCTGCTATTCAGGCTCCGTTCATCTGATGGTAACAGTAACATGCGTACATGACGAGGTAGAAATTAGTTTATCAGGTAATATCCGCTATAATAAATAATAAAGCTTGGTTAGGTTGTTCATAAACTGTTACAAAACACTTGCTGCATATGAATTGACTGTTCCACAATAGGACTGGAACAGGATACAAATTCTCCTCGTTTGATAACTGCAAAGAAACAATTTTGATTTAATCATTTTTGAAATATAGTACTTTTAAGTATTACTATGTGTTGGGCAGCATAAAAGAAACCATCACCTCTCCTTGGTGTTGTGAGAGGTGACTTGGAGAAGCGCTAAAAGATTTAGTGACTTTGAATAGATAACGGTACAACCATCTCGAACGTAAACCAGTCCCTTGTGCAAGAGTTTTCTATAGTATCGAATTCATATCGCCATCCAGTCATTAAAATTGTATGACAAAACATTGTCACCTTTACGTCCGCAATTTTAGTCAATGACGATTTGAAAACTTTATTGTCAATAACTTCTGCCAACGGGAAGTAACGTAAACGGTGCCAGGCCTCTGACACGGCGATCACTGATCGCCATATCGATTATGCAAATCTTCATCTTCAATTGGTGTTGTTGTTGTCAACAACTTGAACTAACTTAACCTCTAGTCATGGGACTTTAAAATAAATCTCTGGTCATGCCACATGAAATTTAAAAAAGTAATGAACATTGATAAAAAGTGTAGAACTTATCGTGTTAAAATATCTATTCACTCACTCACGCGTGTGACATAGTGACCCTGAAGTGGTTCTTGGCCTCCAACACGAGAACACGTCACTCTTCCCTGTCCTGCGCAAGCTCTCGACAGTTGTCATCAGCTTGAAGTGCTCGCAGGCGCATAAAATATACTAGAACGATCTAATAAATAATTTAGATAAAGGGGCTGGCATGGAAAAGTATGTATAACACTACATGCAACGTACACAGCATTTTTTACTTGAAAGAGCTGCAACGTGTTGTGGCTAAAGCACGTATGGGTCGGCTCGACTGGGGAAGACGCTTACATTAGTAGTAGTATTTATTGATTGATCAATTTTATAATATTTAAATGTAAAAAAAATTGTAAAATATCATTGCCATAGGCTTCTGTTCCGTTCACCTGTTTCACTTTATTTTGTCCAGACGGTAAAAAAATCAGCCAGTATAAGCGTGAAATACGAGTACCAAATACCAGTATGGTGAGTGATGAAAACCGGAGACCCTTTTTGCTGGTACGAATCATTCCGAGACGAAATTGCAATTTATATTTTGATTGAGGAATTTGTGAGGGTGTTTATACCTACAATCTCATTTGTACTTCTTCTCTTTCATAACAGCGTGTAAAAGAATTACCGATTTTTAATCGTTCAATAAGTGTACCAGAGTATGTACATAAAAATGTACTTAAATACATTTTTCTTATTTAGTCCTTCAGCGGTGTTAGTTTCATTGCATTATTGAAGATCGTGAGAAATTCCCTCAACTCCTTCAAAATATTAAGAACTTATAGGCGGTGCTCGACCACGTAGTACGCGCCTCTTGCGCACTTTTCACCCGCATCTTATTTCAGTATCACATAACAGATTTTATCTTAATTTGCTATCTTATTTTTTAATATTTTTTATCATGTTACAGTTTTTTTCGCTATCGGGTGTATTATTTTTGTTTAATTCGGTATTTATTCATGTAGTTGTTACCGCTACCCAAAAACAATCCGCTTTCCAAAAAAGTAATTCGTTAGTGATGAAGATGATGTATTTATATTATTTGGGCGCTGCATAAATTAGCCTTCATACTTCTCTCTTGCGTCAGCGGCATTCATTATACGATAGTATATTATTATATTATACGCAGGTCATTATTTATTAACACATTATAGAATCGATATCTCTAATACCTCTGTATTAGAGATATCTATTCTGTAAAAACTATTCAATATATTCAATGTATATTCATAAGATGTTTGTTTGTTAAAATACGTTTTATTCAAAATAAACAAAACCTAGAACCCACTTAACAATTGTTTCGTTTTATACATACAATAGAAATAAAGTAAATAAAGTTAAAAATTGAAATGATTCTCTTATCTAATGAGACATTATTTTACTTTTTAAAAAGTGTAATTTACAGTTAAAAATTGAAGTTACAGCCCAAGTTTAAATGAAAAAAAGTAAAGTTAAAATATATATACATTAAAAAATATATTTACAATTTTTAATAAGGGCGGATTTACAGCATCCTTAGCAAAAAAATGTTTTGCTCGAACACTAAAGTAAAACTTGTGTTATCATATCTGTTCGAGTCATTGTGCCTCAAGTCGTCGGCATCGTTACATAGATAATGTTTTATTGTCATAATAGACAATTTACAGAGGTTATCGTGAATGTGCGCGATATTTACGCGTCCGCTTCCGCCGTTAGTTAACGATTGAAGCGCTCGTTAGCGAGCTTACCAGCAACTATGCTAATTGCAGCAGTCAAGTTGTCTTTCTTTGAAAGTGTTCAAGGTGTGGTCAGTTATGCTTTACACTTTTATATTATTGTTTTATTTTGGTTGCGGCGGTTTCCACATAAATGCATCGGTATTGGACAGTTAGGTATCATCGCAACTAGGAAAGAACGACGCCCTCACAGATTACATTCACGTCTTGTCCACTTCAGGGATGGACGACGCGACACGGACAAGGGACCGTCGGTATCCTAATTATAAAATAAGCCCTTATATTACATGCATGTTGTAGGTTATCATGTCAAAAATAGCTTTAGCAGCATCAGACCGTGGTTGTGTTAGAAAACAAAGAAATTCACTAATGTCATATCGGGGCGCCGGCTCTAAGTTTTACTTATAATAGTAATACGTTTCTAACTTCTGTGTGGAAGCAGGACAAAGAGAGTTCCTCAGCCAAATAATATAAATCATACAGCGGCATGCTCTGCAAGAAAGTTGTATAAATGTAACAATTTATATTTATATGCGTTTATTATCAACGCATTCTTAATAGGTTGCGGTAGTTAGCGATATTTTAAATTATAATAAACTATAAGTAACAGTATATATACGTTCTACTGTTATATATATTATTACATATAATATATAAGTTGGTATAATAAACTATATTTTAATATATCTAGTAATACTTTAGTTTAAATGTTTTTGACATATGCACAAATATATCGGGAAGTGTACATTGTCAAAGTTAGAGGAGTAATCTCTTTTTTGAATGATACTAATGTTATGCTTGAAATTTTCAGTGCTATGAAATAACTATCGCCAGCCTTTTACCTATGAGTAACCCCTACCTCTGTTCTTGTATATCAAAGCTTATGTACCACAATGTAATCTGCATTACTTTCAAACACGATACACCAAAAGTGTCCTGTCATTAATAATACTGATACGGAAATGAAGTGTGTTAAGAGTGCATAGCAGGACTATCAGAGACATTAAACCTTTTAAACGTTGAACTACGCTGGTAAAATGTTAACATGGTTTACCGTATGAAAAACACCTAAAATATTTACTGATATAACCTTAACAGTTAACTACTTGGCCCAAAAACTTTTTATTGAATAAGGGCGATAAACGAGCACACAGTCCATGTGATAGTAATTGAATCCATTCGCCCATAAACATCTACATCTACTCTCTAGATTAAGAATCAAAATGTAAAATGTGTTGTCACCTCTATGGACTAAGATGGAATGCCTCGGTTACAGTAAAAAGGAGTTTTTGGTTCTCTTTACTTACCATACAGAACACAGCAGCATTAAGCTGCTATTTCACGCTGATTGAGCCAACCCATTCGTGCTACAACCATAATATAGCTGCATCGTTGCTTTATTCTACGACAATGTCAGTGAACCAGCGTAATGTAAATGACGCTATCAAAAATTATGTCATACAATAGATAAACACTTGATGATAGACCGGTGGACAGAATATCTGATTACGATGTTGTATATCATAGTAGTCTAAAAGGCGACGGAGAAAAATCAAAGAAAATCTTTAGGCGGAACATATAACAATTTCCAGAGGCAGCATCTTAACTCCGAGAGAAAAACAATTGGCGACAAATCTTTACCTGATGATTGAATCGAAGCTTTTTGCGGTTAATTCCCATTACCACCTCGAACCAATAGGCTTCTGATGCTTTTTCCGATTATCGATTACTGATTATTCGGTGTCAACGAAATTCCGATGTTGTGAAAGCCGACTGTCTAACAGCACTAACATCACGCAAACCAGATAATGTACAACAACAAAACCACACATGTTGTGCAAATTGTAATCGCGACAGTGTCCCTACGAGACTCAATCTATAGACTTCATCGTCTGGTGTCTAGTGATTTCGTGTATCCTAAGTATTAAAGCGAAGGCATAATTGAGAGTTTAAAATGCTAGGAACGCGCTCGTTCGCAAAACACTAACACTCCGTCATGGAGAATATCCATCTGATATGTAGGAGTAAAGGGAGATCGTGTTAGAGAGATGAGGAGATGACGGGTTATAGAGGAAAATGGAAAACGAATATAAGTTATGCCGACCCCAAATAACATAGGATGAGGGAAGGAAGAAGTTTTTAAATCAAATAAGGGTGACGAACAGTTAACCTGATGGTAAGCGGACGATGTGGCCCATAGACATCCATTTATCTTCAATTAAGAATCAAAGTTCAGATGCCTCGTTTCCAGTAAAAACGGTTACCGGTTCTCTACACTCACCATACTGAACACTCGGCTATTTTACGCTGTTACTCTGTGAGCGCGTGGTCTTTCCACGGTCACGTCAACACATTTGTACTACAACTATAATATAGCTGCAGCGTGTCTCTACCACGTTTATGTACGCATATATTATTTTTTTATAATCAAATTTATTTACAAAGGTCCAAGCTTAAATAAAAATACACATAATATATCCTTGTCCTGTGATGCTTCCTGTATCTCTCTAATTTACAATTCAATAGTTCTGTCGACGTTTTGTCAGTTCTAAGATAAGTTAACGACACGAGAATATTTTACGATCTCCTTTGACTTGTGACATGAACTTCGAATCTATTTGGATTTTTCTTAGAAGTATTTAATTTTGATCTCGAGATTCTGTAGCGCTTAACTGGAACTTAATACTAGATGTTGGAAGAGTGGCTTCGTTATTTAATGGAAGCGTTAAGTAACCTGTTTTGTCGTTTATTGCGTGTTAACAGTCAGTTACGATGTAATTTAGATGACTTTTATTATATCATTTATGTTTTAGGAAATTTTCTGCAAATTTTTGTTAAACATGATTTTAAGACGTTTGTATGAGAGATATGCACCAGATTGTAGGCTGTATCTATACGAAGTATGTATACAGTATGATGTATGACTGGATAAAACATAAATAAAGCACTGTTTAACCGTAAACTTAATTTTGAATAAACTGATACAAAATGAAGTTCCAATTTACTTTTGCTTTAATGGGCTAACGAATTCATTTACCTATAAGCCTCCAATATTGCAATGTTACGCTTGACAACGGATAACTTCAATGTATGGACAATGGATATGAATTGCATACACGTATTAGTTGTCATTACTGTAAACTCTAAAGTATTAAATGACTTGGTTAAATTCGCTGTACCTACCTATATATTATGGTTATCCATATTATGGATGTAGCACGAATGGGTCGGCTCGACCGGGGAAGTACCATGCTCTCACAGAATACCAACGTAAAATAGCAGCTTAATACTGTTGTGTTTCGTATGGTGAGTGTAGAGAACCGGAGACCCTTTTTACTGGAAACGACGCATTCCATCTTATTCCTCACGGGTGACAACGCACCTGCATTTTGATTCGTAATCGAGGATAGATCTAGATGTCTATGGGTCACAGCAACCACTTACCATCAGGTGGACTGTGTGCTTGTTTGTCACCATATCCTATAAAAAACTTACCTAATTATTCAAATAATTTAAAGGTATGAAATGAAATGTCGTTTAGTTGTAGAATAAAACAGGAATATGTTGTTTTTATGTTACATGCGTAAATAAATAATTAGTACCTGGATGACCGAGCTTTGCTCTGTTTTAATTAAAAAAATTTATGCAATTAGTGTAATTAAAATTTTCGTATTTTTAAAAAAATACTAAAAAAGGGCTCGAAATAATAGATTTTCTCACAAAAGAAGGGAACTTGAAAAAAAAAAAGGAAAAATATAAATATTATATTAAATTAGATTGCTTAGTGCTCCCGCCACTGCCGTGCCCCAGATTTTATTGAATGCAACTATATTTTACGAATTTTGTTGCGTTAATTTTAAATTATTTTGATAATCCAAGACTTCAAGTTCTTTTTAGTATTCATGCTCACAGAGAGTCAGAGGAGTAACTCATATATTTGTATTTTGTTTTTTATTATATTTTCTTTAGTTGTTTACTTTTAAATGCCTCGTTTGTTTATTGATTTTCTTTTTCTATATTGTTTTCTTTTACTTTCCTGGTGTTATTTTTAAGATTGTAAACAGTTAGCCGGAGGGTGAGGTATGGAGATATACATCTATATTTAGTCATTTTTTGTTATATTCAGTTATATTTATTTGATATAATTTTATTATTTTTAATACTTATTTATATTTAGTAATATTTTATTATATAATATTATTTATTTTATTATTTTAAGTAATTTTGTTTAATGTCTGATGATGAATCTTTTTATTCCGCTTGCAACAGCTCCTCTTCCCTTTCACTTGTTGATGCTTCGGATGAGCCCGCCACGCTACGTACGCTAATATTCGACGAATCTCAAAAATTGTTAAACTGTTTTCACATTTGTCATTTAAATGCACAAAGTATTCCTCAACATCATACGGAGCTCCTGGATACTTTCTCTTCTAATGCAATTCATGCTATACTCATATCCGAAAGCTGGCTCAAGCCTGAACTCTCTTCCACGTCTTATAGTCTTCCAGGTTATATTTTACTCCGTAATGACCGCACTGGTAAAAGAGGCGGAGGTGTTGCTATCTATCTGCGTAGTAATTTACCTTATAAAATATTAAACACATCTCCGGCTCTCTATTCCGGTTCAATGGAATACATTTTTGTTGAAGTTAATGTCAAGAGTGTTAAAGTGTTTCTTGGAGTTGTCTACTGTCCACCTCAAGTGGACTATTTCTCCGATTTGGAAGTAAATTTATTGCCTTACAGTTCTGCCTACACACATCACATTATCATGGGAGACTTTAACACCGACCTATCTGGGGTTTCTCTTAAATCTTCGAAACTGAGGTCGACCATGTTGTCGCATAATTTCACTATTTTGCCTCTAAATGCAACACATCACAACTTCCACTCTGCTGACACCTGGATTGACCTTATTGCCGTCTCCTCCGTTGATCACGTTGTCAATTATAGACAATTCCCTGCTTCTGGATTTTCACGGCATGACCTGCTTTATCTGTCATATAAATTAAAGTCCCCCAAGCCTTTACCTGTGTCCATCTCTATTCGTAGTCTTGCTAGAATAGATATGGACAAGCTTAAATGTGATGCAGATGCTATTAACTGGCCATCTGTATATACTGCTTCCACAGTTGATGAGAAAGTCGACTTCTTTAACAGCAACATATTAGGACTGTATAATAAACATGCTCCTAAGCGTGTTGTTCGACTGAAGCGTCCTCCTGTTCCATGGATCACGGTTGGGGTAAGATTGGCTATGGCTAAACGCAATAGAACTTTCCGTGCTTTCAAGAAGAATCGCACTGAGGTAAAGTGGCAAGCATATAAAGCAGCAAGAAATCGATGCAATCAGATGGTGAGAGCTGCTAAACGCCGATATATCCACGAACAACTACTTAATTCATCTTCGGGTGATATATGGAAGTTTCTGAATACGCTTGGATATGGAAAAACGCAATTTGACTATAATAGCGTCACCTTTTCTCCTGACGATTTTAATCGTCATTTTCTGTCTTCTCAAATAGTTTCTGATGCTTCTAGAGCTAATGCCATCTCTTTTATATCTTCCATGCCTCCTTACTCTCATGAAACTTTTACTTTTACTCCTGTAGACGAAGACGAGGTACGCAAAGCACTTTCCTCTATTAAATCGAAAGCCGTTGGATGTGATGACGTGAGTAGGGTAATGGTTTTGCACGTGCTGGATTCTGTTTTACCCGTGATAACTCATATAATTAACTTTTCGCTGATGAATGGTGCTTTTCCAACTCTCTGGCGTAAAGCCTTTATAATTCCCATCCCAAAAGCTACTGAATGCAGCTCT